AGGCTGATAGCAACATGCAGGGTCTAAAACAATTACCAACAGCTGAAGGAGATGCTTAATCTTGGAAGTGGAAGTACACATAGATAAGGAACAATATTCTAAGAATCGGTACGATCACAGCATCAGGCGTTGTTCACCTCCCAACATGCAAAACATTTTGTGCAATACTTGCTACTAGAAATGACGGCCATATCATTCACAGATTCTAAATAAAGCTGCATTTTACCTATTCAACTAAATATCAAATCGCAAACAGTTAAGCTCAAACAGAACATTCAGTTTCATCATTAACATAAGATTATGATAGCAAAACCCCTTCGTCAACTAGGCAGGATACTGCAGACAACTCACAGTTCTTAGAGATCATATCCAATTCATTGGTTCAAAAGAAAACAAACTACTAGCGGTAAAAGGTAGATAGATAGGCAGGCAAGGAGTAGGCCACCGCCGCCATACCCAACAAGAGATCTCGCCGGAGCTCAACGGTACGACTTCTGGAAACGCGCGCGGGCACCGCGACCGCCAAACTTCTTGGGCTCGCAGCGGCGCGGGTCGGCGACGAGGAGCGTCCGGTCGTAGCGGCCGAAGATCTCCTTCACCTCCTTCTTGGCCGCCTCGTCGACGTACTTCTGGTAGTAGGCGACGAGAGACTTCGCGATGGCCTGGCGGATGGAGTAGATCTGGCTCGTCTTCCCTCCGCCGCGGACGCGGATACGCATGTCGATGTCCTTGAAGCGGGACCTGCCGGCGAGAAGGATCGGCTCGAAGGCCTTCAGGCGGAGCATCTCGGGGCGGATGAGCTCGATGGGGGCGCCGTTGACCTTGATGAGGCCGCGCCCGGGTTTGCAGTAGGCCACGGCGACGGCGGTCTTCTTCCGGCCGAAGCACTGGACGGTGCCCGGCGTCGGGCGGGTGAGAACGGCTGCCATGGTGGCTGCGGCGGTGTGCTTGGTTGCTGTGAGCGCGGCGGCGCAGGTTAGGGTTTTTGGTGGCGGCGCGTAGAGGGGATCACGGCGGCGAGAGAACGATTATATAGCGTGGAGGCGTTAGGGTTTCGGCCTCATTCGCGCAGCACGTCCTATGACATGTGGGACCGACCTCGAAGGTAATGGGCCGAGCTGATCAATTGGAGTTTATGTGGGCCTGCAAGTACTGGGCTTTCTATGGTATGGCCTACGGGTGGGTTGTTGTCGTCAATAAGAGGGCGCGATGGGAGGAGCAGGAAGCTAGGGTTTCGACCCGAACACTACTTGATCTTATCCGAGCGAGCCGTCCGGCGGCGCCGCGGCGGCCGGAGTCGTCTCTCCCATCGGCCGCGCCGCCACCGTGGTCCACGATGGGCTTGCGGGAAGGTGGCGCGCGACGTTTGGGTTGAGAGACGCGGCATCCGCGGCAGCTGCCGGCGGCGAGCGATGACGACTGCCCGCGGTCGGAGCGCGCGCGATGATGGCCGCGCGGGCTCACCCAACAAACAAAACAATCTCATTACTTTCTTGCTTTCTTCGAAGGGTTTTCATCTTTTTTTTGATCGATTTCTTTTTGTTCGTTTTTTGCTTGTGCTTGCTATTTGTATTCCTGAGCAAATTGTTCTCTTCAGTATGTTTTTGGTTCAGTAGGATATTTTTCCTGCGGAAGTGCATATCAAGTATGGTTTTTTTTTTTTTTGCGGATTCGAGTTAAATCTCTTGTCTAATACTCCTAAATCACCATCCATAATAGTAGAAAGTAATCTGTTATTATGGGTGTTGATTTGCTGAACTTACACAGAATTCAGATTGTTATTCTGCAGGTTGAATCTTTGATTGCTCTCTTGGAAGCGGGAATTTGCTAGTTTTCCTGTTCGAGACGAATACATGACCTGGAGACTGTTATAGTGTAGTTTATCTATAATAAGGTGTCTAATTTCGTTAGGAGCTGCGCGCTGTAATCTTTCTCTTATTGGTTGGCGGCTGCCAGCAGGCAGATTCAGCCTGTTAGTGGAGGATCATGTTGTAATATTATTAACTGTATTTGTATATGACAAAGATTCAAAGAAATGCCGTTGTAATATGTTTTGCGAGCCCGTTGTATACTTGTGTCTCAGTACTGTGAAATTATATGATAATATATCCTTTCGTTCACTCTATATAAATTTTATTTGAATGTTTTTTGATTATACGAGTAAATGTTTTTCAGTTCTATGTGCTGAATCATGAAATCTGTTTCTTATTGTTTCAGAGATCTGCCTACGGTTTTGGAGTGGTATAGCAGAGATTACATGTAATGTAATGGTAAGGGCCTCTTTGATTTGCAGGATTCTAAAAATGCCGGAATAGGAAGAACATAAGGGCTTCTTTGATTCAAAGGAATTTTATAGGATTTCTGAAGGACTGAAATCCTTAGGATTTTTTTCTATATTGGTCTTTTTATTCATGGATCCCATAGAATTTTTTTCTATGAAATCTTTTGTACTACATTTCATAGGAAATTTAACATCCACTCCAACCTCTTTTTACAATTTCTTTGTTTTTTCCGTGGCATCAAACAAGCATTGCTAATTTTATAGGATTTAAATGAGCATGCCACTCCAACCATACACTTTTCCTATTCTTACGTTTTCAAAATCCTACGAATCAAAGAGGCCCTAAGATTTTGGGTTGTTTGATTGCATCATAGGAAAAACAAAAAACAAAATCCAAAAAGGTTTTGAGTAAATGCTAAAAATTCAATGAGAAGTAGTATAAAAAGTCCTTAGAAAAAAAATCATATAGGACTCATAATCTTATGAATCAAACAACCAACAGAGGAAAAATTCATAAGGATTCTAACCATCCAAAATTCCTATGAAAATCCTTTGAATCGAAGGAGCCCAAACTTCTTGATTTGCCTTTATGCTGGACCTTTTTTGAGACGCAGAATACACAACATAAATTCACATGAGATAAATCGCTTTGGTCACAACATCATCGGAAAATGCTGGACCTTTCTTGAGACGCAGAATACGCTTTGGTCACAACATCATCGGAAACAGCTACTAGCATGGATCCCACTTCTATAATTTCAAAATAGTCCCTCGGTCTGGAAATACTTGTAGGAGAAATTGATGTATCTAAATGTATTTTAGTCATCCACTTTTATCCATTTATGCGACAAGTAATTCTGGATGGAGGGACTATTTTTAAGTAAATTATAGAAGTGGGATAAAACTCTGAGCAAACATACATTCTGAGCTATCTGTCGGACGGAGTACATGTTACATCAACAATAAGCATTTGCCTTCCTAACATACATTCAACTGGACCGATAAAAGTCTGAGCTATCTGTTTTTGTTCCAAGGTATAACCAAACATTCAACCTGAATCTTCTAATTTACAATGTTCCTCAAAGGGAAAATGCAACTGATGTGCCAGTGTCAGTGAATGCTGTGTTAGATTAGCCTAGAAGCAAGATACATACACACTTTTTCCTGTTTATTTGGTTCCTCTTTCAGATCTTGAAAATCCTCTAAACATATGTGACTTCGTCCGAACCGAAGGCACCTTTCCTAGCCACCCTATCATCTGGATCACATCATCAATACATACACCTCCTTCCTGTTTATTTGCTTCCTCTTTCAGATCTTGGAGATCTTCTAAACCTATGTGCCTTCAGTCGGATCGAAGGCACCTTCCTGGCCAATGCTTGCCAGATCATCTGAACCGCATCATCCTTATGAGATGGGAACTGGTACTCAAAATGTTTATCCACTTCTTTGAGCCTCTTCCACATCCTTGTCCATCGATGCTTGTTTATGCCTTTAATTAGTCTCATCAAGTAGCCCTTTTTAATAGCATCAGAGGAACGGACAAAGATGGAGAACTTTGAATAGTCTAGGATATCCTCGTAAGGGAGCTCAATGTCGTCGCTTATGATAACAGGGACACAGTGGCTTACTATAGCGTCAAAGAGACGATTGGAAGACGGGGTATCCCCGGCAATGTTTAGGCAAAACTTTGATGAGTGCATTCCCTGGCTGGCTTTGCTGACACCATGATCCTGGACGCTTCCGAAGGAAAAGAAAACATCCTTCTCATCTTTGAGCATATTATACAGTTCCTGCCGAATGTTTCCTCCCTGGAAAAGAAAATATGATGTGATATATCATGGCACCAAACACTAGTTTTCTCACATACAGACATAACGGGGTTAAAATCTGCAACATGTATTAATATATACTACTCCCTCCATCCCACAACATAAGATGTTATTACAACCATATATGGTTGTAATAACATCTTATATCATGGGACGGAGGGAGTATCTTTTAAATAAGAACTTATGCACAACACCTATCTACCAGCGATCCCACAACATAAGATGTTATTACAACCATATATGGTTGTAATAACATCTTATATCATGGGCCGGAGGGAGTATCTTTTAAATAAGAACTTATGCACAACATCTATCTACCAGCGATCAAGGAGATGCACAAATTGTGTTCCGATTCATGCATAAGGCTGAAAATTTTCTGAGTATATTTAATTCATCTCAACCAAGGTGAGGGGAACCACCTTGATGGTTTTAAGTTTTAGATGGCGCCAAGCTATCCAATTTGCCTCATCGTGTATTCAGAAGCACTAGCTGGTTTATAATGTACACGGTTTAATACTAATAACATTTGCTACTATCAGCCACAACTCAAAATATGGCAGTTTGTAGTAGCACTATAGCAGTAACTTGTGCAGCTAAAACTGAAAACACATCAAAGCTGGAATTCTGAAATCTTAGGATCTTACCTAAGAAATGCCTAATGATCGCTCCACCCATCATAGTCTCAGCCTAATGATTCAGTTACGACAATTTTACCAAATTCTACGACAATTTACCAAATTCTGAATTATGTCACCCAATATAAATCTCACCAATTCTCTGCATCACCTAAACCTACTTGCCAAATACCAGCAGGCTTCTGCGAGAATTAAGCAGTGCCATTATAGTATGTCATGATTGGCGTCTCATAGTCATAGGTTATACAGAATTTAGTTTGCAGTGTGCAGAACAAGATTAGTAGGCACAATTATTACCTCCTTCCTGTAAATGGCTCCCCGGAAGTATAACAATGTCGGCCGATCATCAAACCCGGCTGTGTCATTCAAAAATGTCTTCGCCATATGTCGGTATGGCGCAATGAGATCCTTCTCCAAGCTGGCAACCCTGGGGTGGTACCTCCCGAAGTCAGACAGCACGAACACTGCTGGGAACAGCGCCGATCGGGCGTGGAGCAAGCTGTTGGGGTGGTGCGCGACGACGACATGGTCGGCACCGCCGGACCTCTTCCACTCCGGCTGCGCCACCAGATACCTGACGAGCTTCTCCTGTAGGGACGTGTCTCTGCTTACCTTCTCCGGCGGCACGGCCTTGGAGTGGCGGTTGTAGCTGAGGGACGCGAAGAAGGGGACGAAGATCACGTCCGCATCACGAGAGTCGGCAACCCTCACCGCCGGACCGCACGGTGCAACTGACGAGGATGCCAGGAGGTCCAGCGTGAGCCAGTACTCCACGCTGTGCTGCTGGTTAAGCCCACCGGGGTAGCGCGGGACTGTGCCGCCCCTGACGTCAGGCCAGACGCCGCCGCCGTTCCCCGAAGGTGGGGCCCAGCCGAGTAGCCCGAAGTGGAACTCCGGCGGCATGTCGTAAACGAACACCCTGACGGCGGCGTCGCGGGGGTCGCATCTCCCAGGTTCAGCAGCCGCCGCCGAGCCGGAGCTGGGGTCGTCGGGGCGGCCATTCTCATCAAGAAAGGAGAGCTCTTTACCCTTGGCGGCGGATGTTACACTCACACCGATAGGGAGGGCCGAGAAGTCGGCGGGGCTGGCCGGGACGGGGAGGCCGGTGTCGGCGGGGCGCCAGCGGCTGGCGCCGGCGGCGGCGAAGAGGAAGATGGTGGAGGCGACTAGGACGGTGGCCGCCGCTAGCGGCAGGAGGAGGGCGCGAGCACGGGGCGGCGCCATGGAGCGCGAGGCTCATGGCCGGAGTGGTGCACGGGGGAGCATGGCGAATCGTCGATCTGGTGGATTGGAAGGAAGGGGAAGCAAAAGTTGGGTTTTCCGTGTGGTCGGAGTTTGGTTGGTTCTGGGTGGTGAGTTGGCTGGCGTGTGCTTTCCGGACTGGGCCTTGAAAGTGACGTGACCATTCACCGATGGACTGGATTCTCCAAATAGGCTGCAGCAGCCAATTTTCTTTTCTCCCTTGCTATTTCTCATGTACTACTCCCTCCGTTCGACCGTTCCTACCGCTCAAAAAAAAAAAAACTCTCGCTCCTAAATATAAGTCCTTTTAGTTAGAGATTCTAACAAAATAAGTGAATTTATACTTTAAAATTAGTATGTTGTCCTTAAAGAAATCTTCAAAAAGACTTATATTTAGAAACGAAGGGAGTACCTGAAAACAACTCTAAAAAATCGGTTTTGCTAAAGCACATCTAGATGTGTCCTAAGTATTTTACATTAAAGTCTAAGTGTGGCAGGAGCACCTCTAGCCGCACGAGGATGCGAGTAGACGGTTTGGTTGGTGGTGTGTGGGAGGAGGGAGAAAGACATGCGCGTCTCAAAATGAATAGTGGTAGTTATTTGAAGGAGGAAATGGATGGTGGGTCATTAGATTTTGATACAGGAGATCTTCAAGCCTCGACCGCGTCATCAATACCATGAATATAAAACCGGCTAAGTCGTTTTCATGCTTAAAAGATTACAAATTTCAGTTTTTACTTAGTTTGGTCATGCTGTATATCTGTTGAATAAAGATGTTTTTCTCCTTGTTCATTTTGATCGTTCTAAGTAATTTACCCAAGTCAAGCCAGACTTGGGGGTTGTTAAATCTTTCATTTTAATCTGTGTCATAAAAGTCTAAGTGTTCTTCTTAAGTCGTTATGAAGCCTTTTCCTATTGCTCCTTTGTCGGCTCAAGTACTCGGCCAATAGCCACATTGTCGTACTTCTTTTGCCACTTAAATTCAGGCTCGGCCAATAGCCGGATTGCCTTACTTCTTTTGCCACTTAAATTTAAGGCAATCAGGTCAAGTCTTTGGGAAGTACAATAGCCGGATTCAATCCTCATGGGATCAAGTACTCGGGGGCTCAAGCCGACAATAACTGGATTCAACCAGCCTTCGCGTCCAACTTGAAGCTCGGGGGCTACTCCACACCTCTTTTTCTAAAGTATGCTGCCAAGTGAGAATTCAATCCTCACGCCAATTTTGTGAATCGACCTGAGTCTCAGGGACTATCGGGATCAGTGGTTTTTATTTTACCCTTCAGGTGCATACCGGATTTTAAGCCGGCACACACATTTATGGATACTGGTTGTATATCTCGACAGAGAATAAATTGCACCAATCAGAAAATATTCATGAAAAATCGGCTCGCAAAAGTCGGCTTGTCGGGACAACTTTTTTCCTCGGAGACTGACCATCTACATCGACAACTCAAGATCAAGGTGGTGCACACCATTTCGAAAACAATCCAACATGGAGATCTACGGCGAGCGGCTAGCTGTGCGGGAGACTTTTTCGGCGTGCTGGCCAGTCAAACTACTTCAACATTTCCAGAATACTGGGGTGGTATATGTCATCTGGGATGTAGTCGGGCACTAGAGCTCAGCTGCAAGAAGATACTGGTCGGGAAAGTTCTCGTTGGACCAGTTTCAAGACAGGCGATCGAAGATGACGAGTAGCTCGGATAAACCGTGGTGTGATATGTTGGATATAATTTTTGCGTGTTCTATGATGTTATATTATCATTCTTGAATGTTTTAAAATTATTTTATAGCAATTTTATATCATTTTTGGGACTAACCTATTAATATAGTGCCCAGTGCCAGTTGATGTTTTTTTGCTTGATTTTTACTTCGCAGAATATCAGTATCAAACGGAGTCCAAACGCAACGAAACTTTTTGGATAATTTTTCTGGACCGGAAGACACCTGATGGGCCAAAGAAGTACCAGAGGGGGCTTCAAGGGGAGAAGACGAAACACAATTCCAGAAATCTTTGTGCCCACCTCGGTGGCCTCCCGCATCGCCTCTTCGCCCTATAAATACCCAAATATTCCAGAAATCCTAGGGGAGAAAACGAAACACAATTCCAACTGCCGCAAGTTCCAGAACCACGAGATCCAATCTAGACACCATCACAGAGGGGTTCATCATCCTCATTGGTGCCTCTCCGATGATGCGTGAGTAGTTCATCATAGACCTACAGGTTCGTAGTCAGTAGCTAGATGGCTTCCTCTCTCTCTCTCTCTCTCTTGATTCTCAATACAATGGTCTCTTAGAGATCTATTTGATGTAACTCTTTTGCGGTGTGTTTGTAGGGATCTGATGAACTTTGAGTTTATGATCAGATCTATATCCATGAATATTATTTGAGTCTTCTTTGATCTCTTATATGCATGATTATTTATAGTCTCGTATTTCTTCTTTGAATCTTTGGTTTAGTTCGGTCAACTAGATCGATTTTTCTTGCCATGGGAAGATGTGCTTTGTGATGGGTTTGATCGTGTGGTACTCTTTCCCAGTGACAGAAAGGGCAGCAAGACACGCATGTATCATTGATATTAAGGATAACAATATGGGTTTTATTCCTACATGAATAGATCTTATCTACATCATGTCATCATTCTTATTCCATTACTCCATTTCTCCATGAACTTAATACACTAGATGCATGCTGGATAGTGGTCGATGTGTGGAGTAATAGTAGTAGATGCAGGCAGGAGTCGGTATACTAATCTTGGACGTGATGCATATATATTGATCATTACCTTGGATATCTTCATAACTATTCGATTTTCTATCAATTGGTCAACAGTAATTTGTTTACCCATCATGTGCTATTTCTTGAGAGAAGCCACTAGTGAAATCTACAGCCACGGGGTCTACTCTTTATCATATTTGCTTTCAGGTCTATTTTTATTTGCTTTTGTTTTTAGATCTATTATTCCAAGAAACCCAAAATACTTTGTTGCACTTTTTATTTGCATCTTTTATTTCGCCTTTTATCGAGATCTATTTATCCAATCTACCACAAATTTTATCCCGTCAACTTGACAATTTCTGACGCCGTTACCCGTAGAGGGATTGACAACCCCTCATAAGCGTCGGGTTGCAAGTATTTGTTCCTTGTGTGCAGGTACTGTTTACATAGTGTTGCTTGGTTCTCCTACTGGATTGATACATTGGTTTCATAACTAAGGGAAATACCTGCCGTAGCTGTCTGCATCATGGTTAGGAAACTTAACCATCTTTGATTAACGAGCTAGTCTAGTAGTGGCTTACTAGGGACACTGTATTTTGTCTATGTATCCACACATGTATCAAGTTTCTGGTTACCAGCATGAATAATAAACATTTATCATGATATAAGGAAATATAAATAACAACTTTATTATTGCCTCTAGGGCATATTTCCTTCAGTCTCCCACTTGCACTAGAGTCGATAATCTAGATTACATTGTAATGATTCTAACACCCATGGAGTCTTGGTGTTGATCATGTTTTGCTGGCTTAGTCAACGGGTCTGCCACATTCAGATCTGTATGTGTTTTGCAAATCTCTATGTCTCCCTCCATGACTTGATCACGGATGGAGTTGAAGTGTCTCTTGATGTGTTTGGTTCTTTTGTGAAATCTGGATTCCTTCGCCAAGGCAATTGCTCCAGTATTGTCTAAAAGATTTTCATTGGACCCGATGCACTAGGTATTACACCTAGATCGGATATAAACTCCTTCATCCAGACTCCTTCATTCGCTGCTTTGCTTGGAAGTGCACCAACTGACAGCTCCACCATTCAATATAAATACGTACGGTTTGTGACTTAGAGTCATCCGGATCAGTGTCAAAACTAGCATCGACGTAACCATTTACGACGAGCTCTTTGTCACCTCCATAGACGAGAAACATATCCTTAGTCCTTTTCAGGTACTTCAGGATGTTCTTGACCGCTCTCCGGTGATCCGCTCCTGGATTACTTTGGTACCTCCCTGCTAGACTTATAGCAAGGCACACATCAGGTCTAGTACACAGCATAGCATACATGATAGATCCTATGGCCGAGGCATAGGGAATGACTTCCATTTTCTCTCTATCTTCTACAGTGGTCGGGCATTGAGTCTGGCTCTACTTCACACCTTATAACATAGGCAAGAACCCTTTCTTTGACTGATCCATTTTGAAATTCTTCAAAACTTTATCAAGGTATGTGCTTTGTGAAAGTCCAATTAAGCGTCTTGATCTATCTCTATAGATCTTGATGCCCAGTATAGAAGCAGCTTCACCGAGGTCTTTCATTGAAAAAATCTTATTCGAGTATCCTTTTATGTTATCCAATTCTATATCATTTCCAATCAACAATATGTCATCCACATATAATATTAGAAATGCTACCGAGCTCCCACTCACTTTCTTGTAAATACATGCTTCTCTGAAAGACCGTATAAAACCATATGCTTTGATCACACTATCAAAGCGTATATTCCAACTCCGAGATTCTTGCATCAGTCCATAAATGGATCGCTGGAGCTTGCACACTTTGTTAGCACCTTTAGGATCGACAAAACCTTCTGGCTGCATCATATACAATTCTTCTTTGAGAAATCCATTAAGGAATGCAGTTTGGACGTCCATTTGCCAGATTTCATAATCATAAAATGCGGCAATTGCTAACATGATTTAGACAGACTTAAGCATCACTACGGGTGAGAAAGTCTCATCGTAGTCAACTCCTTGAACTTGTCGAAAACCTTCTGCAACAAGTCGAGCTTTGTAGAGAGTAACATCACCATTAGCGTCAGTCTTCTTCTTGAAGATCCATTTATTCTCTATGGCTTGCTGATCATCGGGCAAGTCAACCAAAGTCCACAATTTGATCTCATACATGGATCCTATATCAGATTTCATGGCCTCTAGCCATTTATCGGAATCTAGGCTCATCATCGCTTCCACATAGTTCGTAGGTT